GTAAGGATGCACCATGAGGGCTGAAGCCCACTGTCGTGAAAGCTGGGCTTCCCCAGGAAACCATCCTCAGCGTGACAGACTGAAGCGAAGAGGTGAATGGGAAAATTAAGGGGGGGAAATGGCATTTCAAAAGGGTGTGGAGCTGCTTCTCATCATCCAGGGCTCCATGGGGGCCTCATGTCCTCTAAAGGCATGCAACGATTGCTGTTTTGGCCGGCACTGAGATCCAACCGAGGGCCACCAGAGCCAAACTACAGCTTGAGTTCATGGGCAAACCTCATTAACATGGGAGGCACACACTCATTTCCTCCTTGGAACAGGACAGGGAGGGGATTTGCTCATGTCCTCCCCACCAACACGAAGCCTATGCTTTGTTTCCAGGTGCTGCGTGCCAAAGAAGTACCTCCTGGAGTAGCCTGAGACAAATGTACCATCTTGCAGCAGAGCCAGCTCCATCCCACCGGTCCCGTAGGCACGTGCCGTGCTTTGCTGACACTTTCTGATGTGACGTCTGTCTCAAGCATCTGGCCGGCGCTGAAGGGTGATGAAGGGAGCTGGGCTCTTTTGCCATGTGTCTGTGGTTGATGCAGGCCTGACCCCTCTCCCATAGCAGCCAGGTCTCTCATCAATGGCAGCTGGATCATGGTCCCAATGAGAGCTCATCTCTGCCATCTGCGCTGTCCTTGAGCGGTCTCGGTCATGCATAAGGACTAGCTCAGCTGAGCCAATGGGCAGGATCCTAGCTGGGATCGTCTGACCCCAGGGCTCTTCCCAGCCCAGGGCAGGGGGTCAGACTCAGTGACCTACTGAGGTCCCTTTCGACCTTAATATTTATGAATCTATGAACCTAGGATCCCAGCCTCGGTGCCTGCGGGCCATATTGTGACTTCCAAGTTTGATTGAAGGCTCCTTGTTGATTCCAACGAGGACCACTATTATTTCTCTAACTGGGGTCGAGTGGTCATAGCATCTTTATAGCACCTCCGGGGGCGAGTTCAAATCCTGATCTGGCTGCGCACCAAAGGCCACCCCAGTCCACCCAGCTGTAAACAGATACCTGGCTCTTCAGGGGAGTCAAAGATGGTCAGAAGTGATGCTGGCCACATTGCTCGTTTGAGTGCTGGCTTCTCTTAACAAGTCTAGTGTTGCGGGCCATCGGGCTAAGGCAGACCTTTGACCTTGGCCACCGAAAGGCCTCAGTGTCTTGGATGCAGTATAGATGTATAATCTAATAACAGATGGTTTTTGCTCAAAGGAATTTAGAGGCCTTTCCTTAGTAACTGGTAATAGAAGAAGGTCCCATTTTACTGGTTAGCTGGAGATGTTTCACTCATGTAGAGGGCTCATGAGACAGAAGCATTGCACTTTTTGTCCAATCTCTCCGACAGTGGTGAGGAAGAGTGTGTGTGTGATATACATTTGAGGCTGGCTTTTGATTTCAGATACGCAAGAGTAACTCCACTGAAGGCTTCAGAAGAGTTACTCTGGATTTGTCGGACTATGCATGGGATCAGTATAGACAAGCTGGAGCTGGAAACACGAACGTGACCTGTATGAGGGGTAGAATGGCTCAAAGGTAACTCTTATCCCAGAGTGGTATAACTGTAAGATGCTTAGAGGGTACTTAGCACAGTTTATCACCCTTTAATGTGTGGATGATCCCATTTTAAATGGCTTGAGAGTGGTTTAAAGGTAACCTGTAACAACACCCTTCAGCTTGATCCTGCTTTTGCTAATCTCCAGTGCAACCTCGAGTCAGTAGGACGGTGCTGGTGGGAAGGTACAATCCATGCCTACGCAGCCTTGCTGTGGCTGCTCTTATTGACAGTTTGGTGTCAATTTGAAGCAACTCCCTTGACATCAGTGGACTCACAGCAGGGTAAAGAATAAATGTGGGCAACACCCAGCTCCTTATTTTAGGCTTCGCAGGCTGGGCCCTGTTGCCATTGACTCCAATAGGAGCAGATTTATTCCCCTGCCTCTGATGGTTTTGCTTCTCTGGTGCTCCTTTCTTCTGTTCCCTTGCTTAGCTTGTAGCCAGAAAGCTGATGCAGTCTGGAGGCTATTGGCCACTTGATGCACGTTTGACCTGGGCGAGGGTCTTTCACAGTGAGCTGTTGTCCTTGAGATGGCTGCACTGTCCCAGGGCAGCGTGAAGCACCCAGGTTGGATCAGGGTTGAACTTAAGCGAGGCCCTAAATGAACAAATAAAAGCTAGTCGAGGGTGATTCGGGCTTCGCTGGTCTCAGAAATGTTGGAGTTCAGTGTGATTCCCACTTTAAGGGACAACAAAGGCATGGCCATGAGCTCCCAAACCCAGCGCTGAAGTAGTTTTAGAAACAGAGGTAAAGACTTAAGAGGAGTTGGAGGGAAGGTCAAGGAAAATGAGGTAGGGGCTGGACCGCAGAGCATCACATTCAGAGAGCTCCTTATCCTGCTTCCTGAGGGAACAGAGACTCTCTGAGGGCAATACAGGGGCCATGACACACAGCTCTTCCACCCAAGAGGCAACATCATCATGCCAGCTACATCTGCGATGATACCAGCACCTTGCCTTTAAACAGGACCTCCCCAGCTGCAGAGCTGCTAGCAATTTAAAAGCTTTTAATGAATTCACTCTCACCGCTGTTTTCCCCGCTCCTTGCCCCCCTAAATAGAAATCTTACTATCCCATATTATGTCATGCAAAATCTCATGGATGGCCTTTCTCGTGCATGTGAGGATTTTGGTCGGACCATTGGCCTAAAGAAGACCGTAGTCATGGGTCAGCAAGTTGCCCGCCCTCCCGAAGTGAGAATAAATGATGCAAGCCTGGAAGTGGTTGGAAAGTTCATTTACGTCCGTCTCACAAAATCTTGCCTTGGAAGCTGAAATTGATGCTTGCGCTGGAAAGGCAAGCAACGCCATGGCTAAACTTTAAAAGAGAGTTTGGAAAAACAGAGCACTCACTCTGGACAAAGATGTCCATCTACAGCACTTGTGTACTTAGCTCTCTATTGCACGGCAGAGAAACACGGAGTCTGTTTGCTAAGGAAGAAAGAAAACCGAACAGTTTCCATCTTCAATGTCTGTGCTGTAACCTGGGCATGACAAAATATCCAACTTCACTCTTCTGAAACGGGTCAAGACACCCAGTATGTTTGTGCTTCTGAGACGGAAAAGTCTGTTGGTTAGGACATGTGAACCATATGAGCGATGGCTGAATCCCCAAGGACATAATATACAGTAAACCGGCTACCGGCAGACGTCAATGTGGACGGCCCAAACTCCGGTTTGTTGATGTCTGCAAGAAAAACCTTCATGACCTGCGCATCGACGGCCAATGCTGGGAATCAATCGCTTTGGACCGCTGAGAGTGGAAAGCCGCCACGAAGCAGGGCCTTGAGATGGAGAGGGTCAATGATGAGCTAGAGAAGAGGCATCGGGGCAGGCAACACAAAACGGTACTCAGCATGCCAATGCAAACTCAACCGAGTTTGAATGTGCAACTTGGCGGAGGGTCTGTCTGCCCCGCATCGGACTCCTCAGCCACTCGAGGCGCTGTGCTGGTACCCGGTAACCTACCAAAGGCGCAATCCCCACGGTCTCCCGAGACCGATGGCTGCCAAAGTGTATGCGTATCCCATTTTACAGATAAGGGTGCTAAGGCAGAAGGAGAGAGAAATAAGCTGATGAAGATTATGCATCACAGAACAGGATTTCTCCCAGCCCTAAAGTCCCATTGACTCTAGGAAGTTTTTGTGCGGGTGCTGCCATCTCACAGAGTGCTTGCATACTCACCTGCCTTTGCTGGTGGTGCATGTCCCGATGGCGTGAGTCTGTAGTGGCTGAAGCCCCCCTGCCCCGGGGTGATGAGCTTGGGGCTTGCAGCTGCCAATCCTGCCACGCCAAGGGAGCATGTCTATGTTGGCATTTGGCTGGTGCCAGTGTACTAGCAGAGGGCTTGTGATATTCTGGGAGATGATTTTATACTGCTGATGGGAAGGCTGGGTTTTGCCACTTCCATTAAAATTTGCAGGCAAACCAGTGACCAGAAAAGGGAGCTTCGGTTGACCAAAGCAATGGGGGGGAGGGAGGTGCACAGGCCCAGGAGACTGGTCTCCAAAATGCACCATAAGGGGTTGTGGCAAGGCAAAGGAAACTGAACTCTCTGTCCTTGAATTGCCTTATACTCCTGTCTTGCTTCTTTATGAAGAAAACCTAACTGGTTTGTATACCTTTTCAATCCACCCAAAACCTGTCCTTTTAAAACATAACATTAGCAATATCAGGCGTGCTCAAGAACTCACTGGAAGCATCGGGGTGGACTGGGAGCTTTCAGAGGCCACATTTAAACAGGCAGCATGTGGGATCTTTAACAAGGAGAGCTTTCCTCCTTAGTGCATCTCAGACATTGGAGCAACATGGTTTTCACTGACCTAGAAGCGTTTGAGAAACCGTGCATACAAATCGGCGCTCCTCTCAGCCCATGTCATGTTATGAGACCTATTAGACCTTGTCCATCGCTCTCGGGATATTATCAGTGCTACTGACCACAGCTCGGAGGGCGCAGGAGGATGGGGTGGGAGAAATGGGGGAGAGAGAAAGCTTGTTCACAGACTCTCGGCTCTTCCAAGGGGTTGCCTGACTGACTCAGCAAGGCTCACCAGCTTTGGTTGATCCAGCCCTGCAAGCACAATCCTGAAGCGCTTCCTTGGTCCTTCCTCTTCCACTGCTGGATGACTTGCGTGTAAACTGCAACGTGCCCAGGCCGATTCTGGTGGAAGGCATCTGACACCTTCCCCAGAGGCTGGCACTTGGGTGACTCCGCCGAGACCCCAGCTCCTCTCTCTGCCACGCTGCAGACCACAGATGTGAGCGGAAGGATCGAGGAGACATTTTTATTTCGAGGTCGCTCAGGAATTAGGACCCTGCCCAGGAATTAGGACCCTGCCCAGGAATTAGGACCCAGGTGCCACTGTCTAGCAGCAAGGAGGCAAACACCCCACGATTGATTCAGTTATCAGAAGCAAGTTTTATTCATACCCATTTCTGTGCAGCCTGGCACCGCAAGGACAATTTTGTACCATACAGCAGGCTTGTTGTTTCTCCCTGTATAACAATCCCAAGCAGTCTTTTTTTTGTGTGTGTGCAGGAAGATGCATTCAAACCGATACAGCGCCTTCCTTCTGAAGCAAGTTGTCCTGAGACTGCAATGCCCCATGGGTCACATCCACAGCCCATCCATGCCAGAGGGAGTCTTCTCCAAAAGGCTTTGCATGGGGCCTCCTTTATGGGAAAGACGTGACAAAAATCTCTAGCTGTGCTCCTTTTTGAGGTTGCAGTGAACAGGACGTTTATCTTAGGGAAGGAGACAGACATGAACCGCAGCACGGTCCATACAGAGCCATGCACAGAGCACCCCTAGCTGGGGTCAACCCTGGATACAAAGAGGCCTCATGGAGTAGCAGTATGGAGCAAAACTTGATACCAAACCTGTATTCCCTGTCTTGTCCCTAAATAAAGGTGACAGCTGCTGCGATCCACCACGGAGGCATCCAGGACAGCATCTGTGAACCCAGCGTAGGCCATGTCGCTGGCAGAAGTGTTTCGTGTACAATAGTCTATGCAAGCAGGTGATGTACAGAGCTGCAATTCAAGAGTGACTGAGAACCAGGAGGGAACGCAGCTCCCTCTCCTCTGGGCAGTATGGGCTGTGCCATACGGGAAGGAGACACTCTCCTGCTGCTTAAACTACCATAATATTGCACATACTACACACCCTCCAATAAGCCAGGCGCTGCATTTTTGGAAGGCAGCATGGAGACCAAAAGCTTTTTCTAGATTCACAGTCAACCGCGTGGCATAGGGTAAGTCCTCCTGGAAACACAGCCTCGAGGAAGCGTGGCATCCCAGGGGACAGCCTGGGGGAGGCAGCAGGAACTTCCTAAAACAGCAAAAAAGCAAGGCCTCCGACCCTTGCAATGCAGTAGCAAGACTGTTATTTCTTTACTGGAAATTGTTTGAGAAGTCCCTGTAAATAATAGTGTTGCTTCCACTCCTCAAGCCTCATCAGGATACTACAGACTGCCCGCAGAAGCTCTCACCCTCTGCCTGAGATCAGTGACACTTCAGCCAAGTGCTAGAGCCTCACCAGTGGCTGCGAGAGGGTTAACAGTGGCCGCTGGCTTCAGCACTTCCAGGGATAAGTGGAAGCTATGTTAGCACAGCATCTGCTTGCTTCTTTTCTTCCCTGTTTCTATTCCAGCAAAGAAAAACTGGCTTGCCCACTTAAGACACAACCCTTCATTTTCATAGAAAATTAGGGTTGGAAGGGACCTTGGCGTGCAGGTCATTTTGGAGGGTGGAGCTAGTCCAGGTCATTTTGGACGGTTGATTTTTTGCGGGGGAAGGTGCATCGAGTATGCAAGTGTGGTATGTGATCATGGGTCCAGGAGTCAGGGCTGTGTGGGTAAATGATTCTACAAGCAACAAGCCAAAAGCCTGTGAAACAAAGGCCGGTGATATTCGAGTTAGTCTGCAGAGCTAAGAATGCTTCAGTGCTTAAAAAGAAAAAAAACTTTAAGCTATTTAACCAGGATTCTGGCGTCCTGGACTCTTGAAGTGTGTGCGAGAGGAAATGTTACTTACAGACTAAAGAACATTTGAAACAATTACTGCTTTGTGTAGTGTTTCCCGAGGTTTGGGGACTGAAGGGCCACTCTTAGCAAAACCAGGCATCGTCATCAGCCAACTTCTAACTCAAAACACTACGATAGCATATGTGGCCTGGTGCTAGGCAGACCACTTCCCACGGCCCAGGGATCCCAACCCCTATCAAGGCCTCGTTGTGCTAGGTGCTGTATATACATTCACACGGAAAATGGTCCCTGGGCTTGCGAGTCTTGGCCAAGGAAGGGTGAAAAGGGGATGTATCACAACATTGCAAAGATGAGGCTCAGAGGCAGAGAAGTGTGGCAGCTTGGCCCTCATCGTTATGCATCCTCCATCTCCAGAGCACTTGCCAAATACTGGAGAGGGACTGCAGGAAAGCAGGCCCGAGCAAGGTGGTGGGAGATGCTAGCCAGCCCCCCCACTGCAGACAGCAGGTGCCTTGGATCATATACGGTGCTGCTCTTCTGCAGATACTCTTTTTCATTGCCTTTCTTCCCTTCTCCAAGCAAGCTCTCTTTGGACAGAGCATGGTTCTTAATGGATGGGGGTGTCCCAGGGTGACAGGCCACACCATCCGGGCTGCCAGTCCCAGCAGGCAGATCAAGGGTTGACTCTGGACCGTGGACTGGGCAACCCAGGCCCGGATCCTGGACGGCTGTAAACCAGCCCCATTAAAGGCGACGGGGCTATGCACTTTACACCCGCCGAGAATCTGGTGCTTTCAGTGGATTTTCAAACCAAATGGTCTGGGCTGTACTACACGTAAGCTGGTACCCGGAGAACAGCCCCGTGAGGCTCCAAAATGAACCACCTTGCAAAGAAAGCTGGTCTGGAGGCTCCCGGCAGTGGTAGCGGTAGCAAATCAGGCTGGGATCGGTGGAAACCTAACTGGTCACCTCCAGGGCCGGAAGGGCTGAGCACCCACAGGTGCATGTGAAGTGCGGAGGCTCAGCTCCCCTGAAGCCTGTCCCTAGGTGCTCCAGGAGATTGATTCTGGACGAGCAGGCTTCGTTGTTTCAATGCCCCCCCCGTGGCACTGAGATGAAGAGCTTTAGGTGATCCTTCCTGCCTGGGATACTGCCCCATCTGGTCAACATCCATCCATCTTTGTCTGTGGTTACTGCTCGGAGGAAGAAGAGCCCCCATGGCTCTCCAGCTCCTGTTGGGTGAAGAGCTGAAACACAATCTGCTCACACGGGAAGTCCACCCCGCACTCGAACAAGCAGCCGAACAGAGGTGGTGACTCCTCGCACACGGCCAGGTCCGAGTAACCACATGGCCCTTGGTAGAGGACCCAAGGCCTTTCCCAGCTGCTCGTCTCCAAAGGAGTCTTGTTGAGGTAGACGCCCAAGTCGACCCTCCTGTGTCTGCTGGTGGGGTGGGAGTAGACAAGCCATGAGGTGGCACCATGGCAGGTGGTGGAAGAGGCGTTCTTGCAGCGTGCCAAGCAGGTCTTCTCACCCACGTCGGGGCCTGTCCCTTCCACACCATCCACCACAGCAGGCTCTTCCATTGGGAAGAAGCTCACCACACTGCCCTGGCACCCATTAGGTGGCTCGCACAGCTCCTTACACCATGAAGGTCTTTCAAAAACCACCCCACGGTCTCTGCTGAACGCTATCACCCGGCACTTGCCCGGGGTGCGGGCATTGCAGTGCAGCATGAGGCCTCTGTCTTTGTCTCTCACCTCGGCCACCTCACACTCCACTGTGCTCTTGCCCTTGAGGTGCTTGCCTTTATGCCACTTTTGGCCGCGGTCATCGCTGTAGAAGATCAAGGAGTGGGGCGTGGTGAAGCAGGACACGGGAATGCCGCAGAAGCGGGTGTGAATGTAGTAGGTGTAAGCTGGGATCACCAGCCGCCCAGAGCTGAGCTGCACCCCGTGGCCTGGCCCCACTGCAAAGGTGGCCCACTTCTTCAGGTCCTCCCCGATCACTTGCTCTGTCAGATCCGTCAACGGGCTCCAGGTCTGGCCGCCGTCCCTGCTAGCGACGTTGCACAGCCTAGCAGCGTTCCTCCCGGTGCAGATCTGGTGCCGCTCTGTCACGTGCTGCCTCACGCAGATGAAGAACAGGAAGACCGTCCCGCTGTCCTCCTCGTACACCGGGCAGGGGTTCATGGTGCGGTGGTTTGGTAGCATGGCTGCCGTCAGGGTTTCGATGGGTCCCCACTGCGGCAAGAAGGAGAGAGGGGGAGACCCGGGAGGTTAGCAAGCTTGGCCCGTTCCTCAGGGCATCTCCAAGACCCCTCAAGAAGACTAGCTCTCTAGCTATCATGAAGGCTGGGGTGTACAGCTGGAGCGCTCATGGAGACCAAACTTCCCTCCCACCTCTGGAAAGAGTTGTTGGATAACCAACACCGCTGAAAACCTAAATAGAGGCCTGTGAGGCTCCTGCCCTACATGGTTATGATGTGTGCTATCCCACATCTCCCAGTTACAGTGACTTTGCCTTTGGGAGCTGCCTCTGGTCCCATTGGCATTTGCTTTTCCTCCCCACGTGGCTCCCAGCGTGATGGAGGCACAGGCCAGCTCCTATTAGAGACACAGCACATGTGAACTACATAGTTGTCTGTGTGATGGGAAGGGACTCTAGCAGCCCCATCATCTGCAATCAGCTGTCTTGGCCCAGCCCCGTCTGGAGCCCATGGGAGGGGTGGTGGTGAGGATGAGCCACGCCGCTGGTATTTTTAACTTGGAGGCAATGTGTCATGAATGAGATCAAGGCCTATTTTTGTGGGAGGCTCGATTTCCCACCCTGCCCTGCCGTGGCTGACGTCCGAGTGAACAGAGGACCCTTATCCCATATGCCCCGGAGGGCGACGGCATTCAGAAACTGGGAGATCGGCTGGGAGAAAGCAGACTCCAGCCCCGAGGGATGCTCCATCTGCCCCGGGACGCGGTGGGGTCGTCTGAGAGCATCAGCTCTGCCTTGCCTGCTGCTTGTTGCCCGTCCCCGGTGGGTGCGGAGAAGGGGGCATGTGATCAGTGCTTAAAGAGATTACCAGCAGCTTGCCCTAAACAGATAGAAATCAGGCTCCTTTAGCCACTGGTGCTACCTCCGGCGTGCTGTGAAGGGCTGCCTGTACAGCGCATACACAGCACAGGGGAGGGTGATGACAGGAGGCTGAGGGGCCCGGGCTCTGTGGACCTTGTAGGCAGCAGGAGCATGTACTGCTTCTGTTGCAAGATGCAGAGATGATCGGCTGCTCCAGGCCTCAGGGGTCAATTTGGAAAAATGGTGCTCGATTCCTGCTAGCTTTCAACAGCAGGGAAAGGCATGGAGCACCTCGAAGGAGGGCGCAGCACCTCATAGGCAGCCAGCCTGGCGTGACAGGTGTCTGGAGGGCACCACAAGTCACACGCGGGGGCTCTGGAGCCTGCGTATTCAGGATCCTGGGATGTGCTAAGGCTGAGAGCAGAGAGAGATGGGTCCGTCGGGCACTGGGCCGCCAGCTGGCACCCGGTGCACGAGGAATTACCTTCACCGAGGCACCGTGCTTCCAGCCCCTTCGCAGCACCAGGCATTTGGCGTCCTCGTCCTTGACGGAGCAGCGCTGCTCGGCAAAGGCCAGGAAGGTGTGGGTGCGGGGGAGGTAGAGCAGCGCCGGGATCCGGTAGGTCACCCCGCCCTGCGCCTCCTGCCAGAAAAGCGTCTGTCTCCTGGTGTTGGCTGGAGCCCAGGGCATTGCTTCTCAAGGCACTGCAACAGCTGCGGGGAGAGAGGGGGAGATCACACTGAGCCTCGAGGGGCTAAACCTTTGCTGTGCCTTCCTGCCCAGGGGGTGGGTCGGGGAGAACCAGGCGTGGGCCAGAGCCTGGGAGCCGAGGAGGAGGGTGTTGCCCCTCTGCGTTTTCTGCTACAGGGGGGTTTAAGTGTCTCTCAGAGGCGCTGGGTGCTGCTGCAGCCCAGGCTGGGGATGGGGACTGGGTTGTGCCAATGCTCCTGCTGGGACCAGAGCTGGAGGGTCCTGGCTGGAGGGTCTTACCCCTCCGCTCAGGGTCAGACCGATGCCACATTTAGGGTCAGGAAGGAGTTTCCCCCCATGGTCAGACTGATGGGGGAGGGAGGTTTGCCCAGCCTCTGCCTGGGATCGCCTGAGCCTACATTAACAACTTTTACAGAAGCAGGATGTTAGCTGTCACAGCCCCCCTGCTTTCCCCGTGGCAGGTTTGGGGGTGATGTCTGCGTCCTGCCAGGGTTGAGGCTAGTTTTGCTAAGCCTTTAGATGGTGGCTTTGTCTGGGCTGCTTTGGACGGGGCTGATGCTGCCTTAGGCAGGGGTTGGACTAGATGTGACCTCTGGGGGTCTCTCCCAGCCCCACTTCTCTAGGATTTCTTTGATTTCTATGACCCCACGTGCTGCAGAGTTGGGCACAGGTGCCCCTCTCCCTTCTCTGCTGACCCCCCTCCTGCTTTTGGCTTTCTTCTGATGGGAGTTAGTCCCAGTCCCTTTACCCCAAAGTGGGTGTCTGGGCAGGCTCAGACCCCAAAAGCCCCCACTATGGAGAGAAACACGACCATAGCATTTCCAGACTGCCCCAGCACCGGTCCAGTGCCCCAAAGCTGGATGGAAGCAGGAGCATGATGAGGAGAGAAGGAAACAGCTGGATTACAGAAGGCGAGAAGGGGAAGGGGGATCCTAGACCCGAAATGCAGCCTCGCTCGTTCTCTGACAAGCCTCGGAGGGGGCAGAAAGTGCCGTGGTCTCGGCAAGGAGGGGCAGAGGCGCTGGGCGCTCGCTCCAGCTCTACCGTCCTCTCCTGCAGAACCACAGCCCTGGGGCCCCACTGCGCAGGTGCTCAGCGCAGCCCGTGCATGCACAGCACCTCCCAAGGATTGCAGCCGAGTGTCACGACCAGGGCGCTGGGCCTGCTCTGCAAAGCCCTGAGCTGTCTGCACCCGTGCGGGGCCCAATGCAGCTCCCACCAGCCCAGGGCAAGCCGGGTGTGATCTCCCGCACGCCGCAGCCTGGATCCGAGCTCACACCAGCCTTTCAGCTCTCGCGTCTCTGCACGCTCAGCCATCCCCCCAGCCCCAGCCCCAGGCTGCAGTCACCGGGTCCCCAGCTCCTGGAGGGGGAGAGGGACCCGGACCCGCCATGCAAGCAGGAGAGGGGGCATCCATAGAGGATGGGTGGGGGTCTCTCTCCAGCCCCCCTCTCTCCATCAGCTCCCCTGCAGCAGCACGGGGTTGGGAGGGGACCGCCTGCTCCCCCATCCCATCCCCTCTGCCCAGCCAGGCTGCTGCAGCCCCCCCAGCCCGTGCATTGCAGCCTGCGCTCACCCTCCGCTCTGCTTGGCCCAGGCGCTGCTGCTGCCTGCCGGGAAAGCAAGCTCCTCCCCTGGCTGCAGAGGATGAGCCCGCCCTCCCTGCGCCTCCGCCCACAGCTGAGCCAACCCCTGGCCCTGCTCCTCTCCCTGCCCCTGCCCTGCCCTGCCCTCCCAGGTGGGGAAGGGGCCTGCAGGGCCAGGCTGCTCCTCACCTGCACCTGTGCAGCCCCTGCTTGCAAACCGCATTGCAATCTTCCTGGGGCAGCTGGTTCCTCTGTCCCAGCAGGGAGATTTTTTTTCCTCCAAAAGTTTCATCTCTACACATTTCACTGCTGTTAAAACTCGACGCCCTGTGTCCTGGTGCTGTTTGGAGGCGTGCGGAGTGTTTTCTCCGCTCGTCTCCGTGTTGGGAGACAGGCTGCTCTGGAAGGCCGAGGCGAGCGAGCCATCTTCGGGATCCCATACAGGGTTGCCATTGCTGACCCTCCAGGAGTTTCCCACGAATGAGATATACATCTCCAGGAGCCTTCTGAGAGTCACCTGGGAGATAAATGATAGAGCATCGATTAAAATAAGTATGAAACGTTGAATCCGATTTATGCAGTTGTCTAGTGTGTTTTTGAAACGTCACAGTCATGTGCGTTTGCCTTCCTGATGTAAAGTCTGTGCGCCGTAATCATAACTGATGTACACAAGCACGTGGGCACGTTTGGGTTATGTGTTGCGGGCATGTTGGCATTGGGTGTCGTGGGCACGTTCACATTGTGTGTCGCGGGTACATCGGTGGTGTGTGTCACCGGCACATCAGCGCTGTCTCTTGTGGGCATGTTGGCGCTGTGTGTCATGGGCACGTTGGCGTTGTCTTGTGGGCACTTTGGCATTGTCTCTGCAGGCACGATGGCATTGTGTGTCGCAGGTACATTGGTGTTGTGTGTCGCAGGCATGTTGGCATTGTCTCTCGCGAGCACGATGGCATTGTGTGTCATGGGTACGTTGGTGTTGTGTGTCGCAGGCATGTTGGCATTGTCTCTCGCGAGCACGATGGCATTGTGTGTCATGGGTACGTTGGTGTTGTGTGTCGCAGGCATGTTGGCATTGTCTCTCGTGAGCACGATGGCATTGTGTGTTGCAGGTACATTGGTGCTGTGTGTTGCAGGCATGCTGGCATTGTCTCTTGCGGGCATGATGGTGTTGTGTGTCGCAGGCATGTTGGCATTCTCTTCCATGGGCAAGTTTGCATGATGTGTCATGGGCACATTGGTGTTGTCTCTCCTGGGCAGGCTGGCGTTGTGTCACGGGCGTGCTGGCGTTGTCTCTTTAGTCTACTAACTTCGCTACACTGCAACTGCCTCCCACTTTCAAAAGAAAACCGCCCCCGAAATGGCTGATGGTGAGGGCCCTTCAAAACAAAGCAGCTCCGAAGATACTGGAAAATGAGATTTTAAGGTTAATGAATGAGCTTTTGCTGTATCTGTCATTTTACTAATGGTATTAACATTATTTAATTTTCTGTATTTTTAAATTAACGTATACATGGATGCAGACCCACAAACATTTAAACATGCACAATACAAGCAAAATATCCCTAACCAGATCTCGTTTTTTTAACAATAAGATTCCCATTACAACATGGGATTTTGCAGTACTGTTTAATTATGCAATAGGCTTCAAATGTGAAATCATGATTCCTTCAATGCTCCTTATTTCCACCAAAGGCAAAACGATGGCTCTGTAGTGAATGAGTTTTAGAGTACAGTTGATCAGTCATTAATGTCATTATGTCGTGTGATGAAACCTCCTGGAATAGATGCAAATGGAGTTGGCAACCCTTATTCTGAAGGCGACGCAGAAAACACAGTTTGGATCCGTGTCTGGTGGCCAGAGCTCAGAAAAATTTGTTGTCATCTGACTTCCATGACTTGTGTTCATGATATGAAATGAGTAGGCAGTAAGTCTAAAGATAACAAAGGTTGTTCTTTTACACCCAGCGTGTCATTGAAGTGTGGATCTCGTTGCCACCTGATGTTGCAGAATCTCGTACTTTGGCTCGGTTCAGCAACGGATTGGACACATTCTTGGAGGAAAGGGGCATCAGTAGCTATGGGTGTTCATGGCTGAGTTATCATATGGAGCAGCGCTGGGGCCAGAAGAGATGCACATGGGACCCCAGCCAAGACCTTCTGCCACTGGACATTGATCTAGAGTTACTGCTTGCTTTGGGGCATTCAAACAGCATCCATGTAAGGGTAAATTGATCTTGCCCACATTTCTCCAGCTTGCTTATGAGAATAGCATGTGGAGCTGTGTCAAAAGCCCTACTAAGAATAAACTCCAGGTATATGATATCCACTGGGTTCCCTTCATCTACCACCCCTATTACCCTGTCAAAGGAGGAAATTAAGTTAGCGTGATAGGATTTGTTCTAAACCAACCCATGTTAACAGCTTCTGATCATCTCCTCCCAGCGTGGGTGTTTATAAATTGACTGTTGGGGGATGCAGGGCTTTGTTCACATGCTGGCTACACCAATGCATCTTCTGCTCCCAAGCCAGGAAGTTGATGGGTCCTGGATTGGTGGAGGACACGATGGTAGAGCAGTTAAGATGGCTTGCTACAGAGCCCTAGAGCCTTGCTTTGGACTACTGACAAAAGCCACCCCCAGTGGATGGTCCCTGCTCAGTTTGTCTGGGAAGTCAGAGATGGCTTCACTCTGCATGGGCCATTGGCTATGGACATTGGATGCTAACCACACTAGGCCAATGGGTCATTAGGTTTGGGCTGACCTTTGACTTTGGCCAGGATGTAAAGAGGTCTCTTCTTCAGAGGGAGCTCAGTCTCCTGGCTCAGCAGTGTCCGGTGTGCTTGGCTCAGTGTCCCCCCTTGGTGCACTCGTTACAAACCTACGACCCTCACTCCTTTCCCTGCTTTTTTGATTTGTTTCCCAAGGAAACAATTGTTATGTCCTCCGTGGCCGCCTTCTTGAGGAAGGCTTATAGTTTTACTCAGTGGGCCTAGGCCCACGCTTCCCCAAGGGTGTAAATAGGCCTGGCTCAACAGGTTCCACAGCTTGCTGTCTGCAAGTTCAGACACATGAAGTACAAGTCATGAGTTTGTTACTGGAGTAACCTTTAATTGCTGTTGGATAGCTGATCTGGCTGCTGGCAGTAGGGGAATAACACAAGATACATCAATCCCTGACTTGCTTTTTTCCCCCCTATACAAATGATGTATCTATATCTTCTATGGTTGTTTGACGCACATGATCCACTCATATAAAAACCACCCATGTGGAACTGAACGTGGATCATGTATGTACCTGTACCTTCACTTTACATAAAGGCATCCCAGTGGGTGCGTCTACACAAGGCATTTACTGTGGAGTAGACTAATTAGCTCCTCAGCAAATGTCTTGCATCTACATGTGCAGGGCTACTAGGCTGGAGTAAACTAATAAACTCTGCAGAAGGGTAGTACTCGTAAACACAAGTACCAACTTGCTGCAGCTTTTTTTACTCTGCAGCAGCACACGCGTAGATGCTGACAGGGCTTGCTGGGGCAAGAGGGGGCTTCAGTGCAGGGGCTGCATGCCATCTAGTCCTGCACTGAATTATCCTCGTGCCCCAACCAGCCCCTCCACAGCACATTGTGCCAGGTCGAAGCAGCTCTGGGCTGGCAGGCTGACCCCAAGCTCCCGGCTCAACACACTGCAGTCCCAAGTGCCCAGTCAAGCAGTGTGCCTGGGAGTAATATGCACCGGAGTTTATTGCTGCATGCTAATTGCACATGTAGACATGTCCAGTGTCACCTTTCTTTGTCCCAAATGCAAAGTCTCCAGTTTTAGAAGTCCATTCCAAAACTAGCTTGTTTTCCACTAACTGCAAGGCCTCTGTTCTGTTTACTTGGGCCACTCGGTAAGTTTTGATTCTTTGGGAAGTTTTAGCAGTTAACCCTTTTCAGACATTTTAACAAAACTTGGCCAACAAAAGGCTACAGTGTGGTTTCATAGTAGCTAGGGTCAGGAGGGACATGAACAGATCATCTAGCCTGACCACCTGCCACAGGCAGGAATGAATGCTGGGGCACAAGACCCCAGACAAGTGATCATCCC